GGGCACCTGTAGTCCCAGCTACTCGGGAGGCTGAGGCAGGAGAATGGCGTAAACCCGGGAGGCGGAGCTTGCAGTGAGCTGAGATCCGGCCACTGCACTCCAGCCTGGGCGACAGAGCGAGACTCTGTCTCAAAAAAAAAAAAAAAAACAAAGAAAACAAAAAAACAAAAAAAATCTGTTCAGTCAGCCTCTCCACAACCACATCCATTGGGGTTTGTTACATAGTAATCACCACATCTGTCTATGCACCTATCTATCTACTTACCTATCTTTTTTTTTTTTTTTTTTTTTGAGACGGAGTCTCGCTCTGTCACCCAGACTGGAGTGCAGTGGCTCGACCTTGGCTTACTACAACCTCTGCCTCCCAGGTTCACGCCATTCTCCTGCCTCAGCCTCCCGAGTAGCTGGGACTACAGGTGCCCGCCACCACGTCCAGCTACTTTTTGTATTTTTAGTAGAGATGGGGTTTCACCATGTTGGCCAGGATGGTCTCAATCTCTTGACCTTGTGATCCGCTTGCCTCAGCCTCCCAAAGTGCTGGGATTACAGGCGTGAGCCACCGTGCCTGGCCCTACTTACCTATCTTTTATAGATTTTTAAAAATTATTTCCAAAGGCCTTCTCCCAAGACACCAAAGTACTTTTTGACATCAAACCCCTTTGTAAAGAGATTTTCTTTATTCTCTTTAAAATAAGTAAAGGTGCGGCCTCCTTTGAAATGCCAACAAAAGGATAAGTTTCTTGTGAAGCCAACTCTAAGAAGATGGTACTGAGTCTCTTTAGTACTATCTGGAATGTCACATGCGGCCTCCCATAGCATACACCTCTTCTCAGCTGGTGAGGCAATTACAGTTCCTGTCTTAAAGAGCACTGTGAACAGATGTTAAGGCCTTTCAGAATTTAAACTCTCTGACTGCAAGACTTCGGATTATTAATTGCATACTAACGGATTCAAAAGCACAGAACTTCCATTTTAACTTGACTTTTACTCCTGCCAGGAGAAAAATACTTTTTCAGGGGAGAGCATAACATCCCATGCCTTAATTCCATGAATTTCAATGTTTAGAAAGCATTTGCATAGGACTTATCTTTCTGGCAACTCCTAGTGTTCTTTGGACACGTTCACAAATGTAGAAAGGCATAAATTTATTAAGGATCATAAACTCTCAACTACCCAGCACAGTAAGGAAATGTGGTGTTCAAATATTCACATTAAAAAAGTCACCAAACATTCATTATGCCTCAAAAAAAGGATTAAAAAGTCACTCCATTGGTGATTTATGAACAAACATTTTTCTCAGCATCATAAAGTATACCTAATAAACCACAGTTAACACTGTCTAATCTTCTGATAGTTAAGAAAGTTCTTGAAGATTTGTGTTATAAACAAGATTTGTCTTGGCAGTCCAGCAACACAACAATTAATAGAGAATTCGAGTTGAAGACATGCCAGGCGACAGCTGACTGTATTATTTCTACTCAAGTAAAATTCAGCTTTTAAACAATTCACGTTGGGGCCACCCAGTCCTGTGTTTGAACCTGGTTCTTCCATTTCCTAGTTGTGGGGTCCTGGGTAATGACTAAAGCTCTCCAAGAATCCTCTCCTCAGTGTACAAAATGCCTCTGCTGCGGCCGGGCGTGGTGGCTCACACCTGTAATCTCAGCACTTTGGGAGGCCGAGGTGGGTGGATCACAAGGTCAGGAGTTCGAGACCAGCCTGGACCACATGGCGAAACCCCATCTCTACTAAAAATACAAAAATTAGCTGAGCATGGTGGCACATGCCTGTAATCCCAGCTGCTCAGGAGGTTGAGGCAGGAGAATCACTTGAACTCGGGAAGTGGGGTTTGCAGTTAGCCGAGATTGTGCCGCTGAACTTTAGCCGGGGTGACAGAGCAAGACTCTGTCTAAAAAAAAAAAACCAAAAAAAACAAAAAAACATCCTCTGCTGGAATTCTGGGTTATCTCTCCAACTTCATCAGTGACTTTTGGTGCAAAGTTTAACTTGGCCTCAGTATCTATTTTTGTAAAGAAGAGAAGGAAACACCAAAAAAACTAATAATATGAGATTATTAGGACTCACAGATTGCTATCTATCTTAAATCTGGAGGATAACTGCCAGAGAATTATTTTAAATGTTTGGGAAGAAGATGGAGGTTAGGGGAAGGGAAGATGGGAGGAACAGAAGGAGAATTAAAAAGAAGCCTTCATAATATATACACTACCTCCTTTCCCTTACATCAAAAGTGGCCTCCGTGGCCGGGCGCGGTGGCTCATGCCTGTAATCCCAGCACTTTGGGAGGCTGAGGCGGGCAGATCACCTGAGGTCAGGAGTTCAAGACCAGCCTGGCCAACATAGTGAAACCGTCTCTACTCAAATACAAAAATTAGCTGAGTGCAGTGGCACGCACCTGTAATTCCAGCTACTCAGGAGGTTGAGGCAGGAAAATCGCTTGAACTCGGGAGGTGAAGGTTGCGGTGAGCTGAGATTGCGCCACTGTACTCCAGTCTGCGCGACAGTGAGACTCCATCTCAAAAAAAAAAAAAAAAAAAAGTGGCCTCCCTAAAAATACACAGGTTTATGAGCGCCCTCATGGGGTGGATTAGTTAAATGCCATCCCCAGTATTGGCTGCAGTTGTTACAGTAGAAATAGATCAATTATTTGAAAAAATAAATAGACTTTTAAAGAAAGTTGTTGTATTCCAGTTGAATTTTTGATATCTCCTAGTAAATTCTAAATTATCCACATTAAGGCCCCTAAATATTTTTGTAATGTTTTAAATAACTTTTGTTCAGTGTTTTTGATGCTTACTCCTTAATTCAATAATTTGGGAAGTAATTCTGAGATGACCACAAAACCAAAAACCTATGAGATTTCAACAGATGATGAGACTGTAAGCATTTAGAACAGAGTCAATTATAACTGTGGTATGCTTAATACTCTGTAATAACTAGCAGCAATTAATAGAAAAAAGAAAAAGCTCTTAATTTGTATATTTTTCTTGTAGTAGGTTTAGCACATAAACAAGGTGACTAATAATGTTATCTAAATGGAAGCAAATGCATATGATATCATGAAACAATATGTAGTTACCTTTCTAATATATATGCTTTAGGTAACACTAACATGAATTCACACATCTTGCCATGTGTAGACTTCTCAGTGCTTAGTACTGAAAGAAGAGGAAATAGAACTGCCCATTTGAAACTACTAAAAATACAAAAATTAGACCAGGCATGGTGGCTCACACCTGTAATCCCAGCACTTTGGGAGGCTGAGACGGGCAGATCACGAGGTCAGGAGATCGAGACCACCCCGGCTAACACGGTGAAACCCTGTCTCTACTAAAAATACAAAAAAATTAGCCGGGCCTGGTGGCGGGCGCCTGTAGTCCCAGCTACTCGGGAGGCTGAAGCAGGAGAATGGCGTGAATCTGGGATGCAGAGCTTGCAGTGAGCCGAGATTGCACCACTACACTCCTGCCTGGGCAACAGAGTGAGACTCCCTCTCAAAAAAAAAAAAAAAATTAGCTGGGCACAATGGTGCAGTGAGGTCTGTATATTAGGACTTGTTGATTTGGGTAAAATAAAAACCCTTTATATGATAGACCAACTGTGCCATAACAAATTACACGACATGGAAGGTGAAGTACCTCAGAATATTCCAATTGTGTTAAAAATAAGGCCCTAATTGTTTGAAATTAAACTCTGATTTTAAACCTTAGTGGATCAATAATTGAATATCTAGAAAATCATGCGACTAAGCCAACTTTCCTAGTGATATAAAGGGGTAACAATGGAGGAAAATAATTTTTAGAACACTTTCCATTGTTTTATCTAAAAAGTTGTATTCCCGTATTTCCATATATTTAAAACCTGGAAGTATCCACTCCCTGAAATATGAAAAATTGGGTCTTTGGCATGAACTACTGACAATTTAGAGAAATGATGAGAGAAGACCAGTTTGAGGTAAGTTTTCAAATCAATATACACTCCGGTGTAAAGGGTTAGTATAGGTAACAAGTCATGTATATATTCCTAAATTGATCAGATTATGAATTTCTCTTTTTTTTATTTTTTGAGACACGGTCACACTCTGTTGGCCAAGCTGGAGTGCAGTGGCATGATCTCGGCTCACTGCAATCTCCACCTCCCAGGTTCAAGTGATTCTCCTGCCTCAACCTCCCGAGTAGCTGGGCGTACAGGTGTGCGCCACCATGCCCAGCTAATTTTTATATTTTCAGTAGAGATGGGGTTCACCATGCTGACGAGGCTGGTCTCGAACTCCTGGCCTCAAGTGCTCGGCCTCCCAAAGTGCTGGGATTATAGGCGTGAACCACTGCACCTGGCCCAGATTATGAATTTCTAAAAAATATATATATATTTTACCACTTGGTAGGAGGTTAAGATGATGGCATAACTTGCTTCAAGGAAGTCCCACCCTACCCCTTCCCCTCAAACTCCCATACTAGAGGCAGTGTCTGTGCCTCTGGAGGAAAAATAAGGCAAACAAGCCATATCTCAATCATCTACATAAACACCAGGGTAGGTGGGGAAGGGAGAGATGTATGGTTTCTACTGGTATTGGCCTCTCCGAAAAGAAATGATCACTAAAAACTCCCAGAAGCAGAATCACAGCTTAGGATGATCATGGAAGTTTTCCTGTTGGAGGAGTAGCCAGCTACGGTCAAGGCGGTCTAGACAGGGAGCAGTGCGGGGCTCCGTAAATACAGCACTGATGGAAAGCATTAGCTTCCTGAACTGTACAGGTTACACCCAAGTAAGTTAATTCCCTCGGTAGGTCTTGCTTTGCCAGCATATTCACTGTAAAACATGTAACAGACACTGAAAATAGAAATCAAGATTACAGGCAATATTTTGGAAACCAGGTCTTCCTCAAGCTGTGGGAAAATCTGGGTGGCCCAGATTCCTTCCTTTCTTAAAATACGACTGCTTTTCCTCCCACTCTAGAAAAGAGGTGGAAATGTTTACATGGATACATCTGATGTGTTGCCACAGCTCTTAGCAATAAGTCCTTCAAAAGGGCGATCTTTTCCTTCAGGTTCTGCAACAAAGCTCTGATTGTCACGGTAAGCTGAAAAGAAAAGAACACATCCTAAGTATTCTAGTCCACAGCGCAGAATCCACGAAATTACATCACATAAACACTACTTCACGGGCTATGATTCAACCAAGCCAGGGCTGGAAGAGACAGATACTCAGCCCCTCACGACAAACTCGGGGCTGGAAGGAGGCTCAGTGGTGCCCTGGCCCAGCTGCCCACTTACAGCTCATACCCGCTCCACATCCTGGCCAAGTGGTGAGCCAAGCCAGACTGGAACACCGATACTGACTAGAAACTGTCAGTGAGCTCTCACCATCAGCTGAATCCTGTGGCCTGAGCTTCTACCCATTGATCCGATGTATCTGCCTTGGAACTATGCAGGAAATTGTGTTCCCCAAGTCTTCATTCCAGAGCAAAAACCCACAGTTCTCTCAATCAGGCTTCAAATGACAAAGCATGAAGTCCCATTACCATCCCCACCAGGCTCTCTAAACAACCGGTAAAATTTACAACCCAATGAAACGTTTTACGGCAATGTGTTCTTTTTATGCAAGAGGAATGTTAACCACACATGACTCTTTTCCCAGGAGTATGTGAATTTTCTCCAATCATCCCAGAGGAAATTTGTGTCTGTGACTCTAACCTGTTACATTAAAGGATGGAGAAGAGGGTGAGAAGAGGCCTCTCAGGAATTTGGAAACGCGAAAAAACCGCCTGTGTCAGTTAAAACATATTCACCCACGGATGAAATCAGAGACATGTTAAAAAGACAGAATACCACAGGTTTCCTTTGCTACCTTGTCAAAAGCAGTAATTATATAACTCAAGTGGACTCCCTCCTTGGATTTGCAGAATCACACCAAGGAAAACCAGCCAGTGTGCCAGAGGCTGGCCCAGACTGCACACATCCAGCAGACCTCCAAGGCACTAGCAGCCAAGAAAAGTCGAACCTGAACTATCCCCATGCTCCTGGGAACCAAGGAAGAACCACCTACAATGTTGTAGGGAAACACCAAGGAAAACAGATCTCTCTACGCTCAAAGAGAAAAGGGCAAAAGAAGCAAACAAAAAAGCCCCCACACACCAGGCCTATGAAGAGGAGTCCACAAAATCAAAAACCAAAATCATTTGGGAGATAAAAGACACAGTATGTAGCCATTAAAAATTATGGCTCAAATCTCAATTTGTTCACATAGAAAGATATCCATCACAACTTATGAAAAGGAAAAAAAAATCAAGTCATAAAATAAAATATCACCCAAACAGAGAAAAAACAACCTAGGAACTAAATACAAACACATGAAAGCACCATGGTTCTATCTAAGTAGTGGGATTTTCTAACATTTTATAAGAAAATGATTTTTGTAATCAGGAAAAAAGTGTCATTATCATAATTAAAGACAGTTTCTAGAGCACAAAAAAAGATGGAAAGCCTAATTCACATTTTAAGCTACCATAACCTTGGTAACAAGCACGACAAAGAGAACCACATGTCAATCTTACTTAGGAATTATAAATGTAAAAATCTTTTCAAAAATATTAGCTGGCCAGGCACGGTGGCTCAAGCCTCTAATCCCAGTACTTTGGGAGGCCGAGACGGGCGGATCATGAGGTCAGGAGATCAAGACCATCCTGGCTAACACGGTGAAACCCCGTCTCTACTAAAAAATACAAAAAAAAAAAAAAAAAAACACTAGCCAGGCGAGGTGGCGGGCGCCTGTAGTCCCGGCTACTCGGAAGGCTGAGGCAGGAGAATGGCGTAAACCCAGAAGGCGGAGCTTGCAGTGAGCCGAGATCGCACCACTGCACTCCAGTCTGGGCGACAGAGCGAGACTCTGTCTCAAAAAAAAAAAAAAAAAGTAGCAAATTCAGAATTACATTAAAAAGGACCATATACCATCAGCAAGTAGAAATTATTCTAGTAATTTAAGAACAGTTTGATGTTAGAAAAATCTAGCAATAAAGCTCATGGTGTTAATGATTAAAAACAGAATAAACATATGATTAGTACAGTATAGGGGAAATGATAAACAAAAGAAACACACACACAAAAAGAAAGAAAAACTAAGAATAGAACACTATTGCCTTAACTGCAATATTATTTAGTTTTGCTCTAGAAGTTCTAACCAATACAATATGAAAAATATAAGGACGACAAGGGAAGATGAGATTATTATTATTTGCAGATTGATAATAGTCTACTTAGAAAAGTTAAGAGAATCAACTGAAAGATTATTACTATTATTATTTTTTTTTTTTGTGACAGAGTCTTGCTTTGTTGCCTAGGCTGGAGTGCAGTGGCGTGATCTCAGCTCACTGCAACCTCCGCCTCCTGGGTTCAAGCGAGTTTCTTGCCTCAGTCTCCCGAGTAGCTGGGACTACAGGCGCCTGCCACCACGCCCAGCTAATTTTTGTATTTTTAGTAGAGACGGAGTTTCACCATATTGGTCAGGCTGGTCTCGAACTCCTGACCTCAGGCGATCCACCCACCTTGGCCTCCCAAAGTGCTGGGATTACAGGCATGAGCCACCGTGCCCAGACTGAAAGATTATTAAAAACAGTAGAGGCTGGGCTGAAAGACTATTAAAAACAGTGGAGGCCAGGAGCGGTGGCTCACACCTGTGATCACAGCTCTTTGGGAGGCCGAGGTGGGAGGATCACGAGGTCTGGATTTCGAAACCAGCCTGGCCAACATGGTGAAACCCCGTCTCTACTAAAAATACAAAAATTAGCTGGGCGTGGTGGTAGGCACCTGTAGTCCCAGCTAATCAGGAGACTGAAGCAGGAGACTCGCTTGAACCCAGGAGGCGGAGGTTGTAGCGAGCTGAGATCACGCCATTGCACTCCGGCCTGGGCAACAGAGCAAGACTCTATCTCAAAAAAAAAAAAAAAAAACCGAAATAGCAGAGGAATTCAGTATGGTCATTAGTCATAAAGAAGTGAAAAAATATCAAGGGCATTCCTAAGTTTAAGTAATACCTAGGAAGAGTTTTTTAAATTGTTATTTTATTTTATCTTTATTTTTATTTTTTTGAGATGGAGTCTCATTCTGTCGCCCAGGCTGGAGTGCAGTGGCGTGATCTCGGCTCACTGCAAGCTCCACCTCCTGGGTTCACACCATTCTCCTGCCTCAGCCTCCAGGGTAGAGCAGCTGGGACTACAGACACCCGCCACCACGCCCGGCTAATTTTTTTGTAGTTTTAGTAGAGATGGGGTTTCACCATGTTAGCCAGGACGGACATGATCTCCTGACTTTGTGATCTGCCCGCCTCGGCCTCCCAAAGTGCTGGGATTACAGGCGTGAGCCACTGCACCTGACTAAATTGCTATTTTAAAACTTCATTAACAATACCAATAAAATCTAAAAAATATCTAGCACAGTGCCTGGCGCATAGTAACTGTGCAATAAATACTGCTGAGAGAAACAAAAGGAAACGCTCAATATTGTAAAAATGTTAAGTTTTTCCCCAATTTAAATCTATAAACATACATGTCTATTTGAAATCCCATTTGGAATTCTTTTATTGCAGAAGAGGTGGTAATTAAGGCACAGCACAGTTGTCGGTTTTTTTTATAATGAAGTTTTACAAAATTATTCTGACAGAAAGATAAATGAAGGAAGATAAAAGCCATGAATATGTATCATGTTCATAGGGGCCTTAATCAGAAATAAAGTGATTATAAAAAACTACAATAGCTGACGCTGGCAATTACCAACAGCTTCAATAGTGCAACATAACAAACGGCCCAGAAACAATGTGGGTGTGTAAAAATTCAGTGAATGAGGCCCGGCGCGGTGGCTCACACCTGTAATCCCAGCACTTTGGGAGGCTGAGGTGGGCAGATCACGAGGGCAAGAGATCGAGACTATCCTGGCTAACATGGTGAAACCCCATCTCTACTAAAAATACAAAAAATTAGCCGGGCATGGTGGCGGGCACCTGGAGTCCCAGCTACTCCGGAGGCTGAGGCAGGACAATGGCGTGAACCCGGGAGGCGGAGCTTGCAGTGAGCCGAGATGGCGCCACTGCGATCCGACCTGGGCGACAGAGCGCAACTGTCTCAAAAAAAAAAAAAAAATTCAGTGAATGAAATACGAACTATTTCATATGAGGGAAGGAAAGAAATTCATAATTGAGCAAATGGGGAAAAAATAACATTAGACACCTATGACACACGAAAGTAAACACCAAGTATTTCAAAGATTTACACAAACAAAACAAAATAACAGAAAAAAAGCTTAAGGAAAATTTAGATAATTATTTATATAACCTCTGTATGTAAAAGGCCTTTTTAAGCATGATATCTCCTCCCCTCATTAGAAAAGATCACCAATAAACATGCTGATAATTTCAAATAAAATTTAAAAACCGGTACACGTTTTACAATGTCACTTACAAAATCAAGTTAATAGAGAAAGTATTTATACTAAATATGCCAGATCAATTAATATAGTTAATATATATAAAAAGAAAACTTTGAAATTAAGAAACAAGGCTGGGCACAGTGGGTCATGCTTGTAATCCCAGCACTTTGGGAGGCCAAGGCAGGAGGATCTCTTGAGGCCAGGAGTTTGAGACCAGCCTGGCCAACACGATGAAACCCCGTCTCTACTAAAAATACAAAAATTAGCCAGGCATGGTGGCGGGTGCCTGTAATCCCAGCTACTTGGGAGGCTGCGGCAGGAGAATCGCTTGAACCTGGGAGGCTAGGAGGTTGCAGTGAGCCGAGATTGTGCCACTGCACTCCAGCCTGGGCAACAAAAGCAAAACTCCATCTGGACAAAAAAAAAGAAAAGAAAAGATGTTCAAGACGTAACAAAAAATGCATATTAAACTGTAACATAGGATTTTTACCTAGTAGAGATTTTTTCAAAGATAATCAAAATTGGTATAGAAATGTTATTCTGCAATATATGTGTTCCAAAGGCTTAAAATGTTATACAACCCAAATCCGGAAAGTCTACGTTGAAGAATTTATTTCAACATTTGGCTATACTTAAAAATCATTTGCAATTAGAAAGAATCTAA